AGCTCTCTTCACCTAAGGTAATGTTTCATTGAATTATATTTGTTTTAATGTAATATTTTTTGTGCATTTTAATTTTTCTTTCTTTGTGATTTCTCTTTCAAATATTAAAATTTAATTAACTACTTTCTAGGTTAAATTTCATGAATCAGTTTTAGTTAATTTTTGTTCTTGAGGTATATTGATTTTTTTTAGTATTTAAATTTTGATTATCTTTAATAATTTTCTTGGTTGTTAGTCTATATAAATTGATTTTGTTAATGTTTAGGTTACACGACTTTCGTTTCAACTTTAAAAAAAATTACTGTAATAATTAAATTTTGCGTTTCATAATTTTTTTGTAGTTTTAAACTAAATGCTGTATTTCAAAACAGGTTTAATATCTGACTAGAGGATTGTAAAGACTTTTTTATTTAGAATTTCTTAACTGCGAGTCCTACAGTTAACTTATTAAAATATGAACTCTATATATAATACTATATCATTGTTTAAGGTTATAAGACTTTGAACAAGCTTTTCTCTTTACAGGTTAAATAATGAAGAGAATAAGCCACCCATAGTTAGATTTAGGCCTACAGCAAGAGATGTGACCTGACCTCTCCCAGCAACATATTGACTCACCTAACATACAATGACTAACATATATATCCATTTGATATATTATTAATAAATGTAAACATATCCAACTTTCATAGACCCGTCTTAACACTACCACCTGGACACTCCTGCTGTTTCATCGGATAAGAAAAACTTGTCATGTAGCGCCTGGTATATTTGGACAAGTCTAAACATGACGAGGCTCTTTTTATGCCGTGTTTCCTCTAACTCTATCTGGTAACATATTTTAAACTCTATTTGCTCATAATTTTACAATATTGTTCCGTATATACTAATAATTTTACAATATTGTCCTGCTTCACCCTGTCTCGTCCTGTTCATCACACCTGAGGCCTCTGTACCCACGAGTACCTTGCCATAGCTGAAATGTATATACGCCAGTGCCAGCATATATATAAATTGTTTATAAATCTACGCACTTAGAGTAAGCTTGTCTAGAAACTATACAAATTACCTGTTAAAAAATATTCTAATTATTTATCTTATCGTCACTTAGCGCAGAAACTATACATATATCCGAACATACAACTTATGGCTAATTTATGATCTGATTAAAATATACAAATCTCTTATCTATACAAATTACCTGTTTGTATGTACAACCATTGGAATTTAAATATACGTACATCCCTGTATATATAAACTATCAGAAATAATTAAAGTTGACTCCATCAATAAAGTTATCAGTATTAGGAGAGAGAGAGAGAGAGAGAGAGAGAGAGAGAGAGAGAGAGAGAGAGAGAGAGAGAGAGAGAGAGAGAGAGAGTTTAAAATAGAATAATAAGATTAATAGAGATTATACAGTAGAGAGAATACAGTCTGCCCACAACACGAGAGGGGTGAAGGTGACGTCACTAAACCAAGCGAATGACGTCACTACACTTTTCCATATTAATTAAAACTAAAAACTTTCATTTAGTGATGTTTTTATTAACTTTCAACGTTATTTAAAAATCATAACATACTTACGATGGTTGTGTATATAACTTGAAAGAAAACAAACAATTTGGTAAAGTTTAAACAAATTAATTTTTAGTTTATCAATAACAACCTTTTTTCAGTATCATGTTATCGTAATTATATAAAAACCCCCACTATTTTTGCTTTAATTTTCATTCCCCATTCGTTTTATCATCAGCTTTATGTATTAATGAATTTACACACTTTACAACTTTACAATCTCTCTTCATCTGGCAACCGGTTTTACAATGACATCAGGTGAGAGGTGTAGGAAGTGCGGGTAGTCAACTCTTTTCCTTGGGTATTAAATCTTCCTAACCTAACCTAACCTAACCTAACCAAACCTAACCTAACCTAACCTAACCTAACCTAACCTAACCTACTATCCAACGCTGGTAAAGAGGATAGAACAAGTGATTCTTTCTCATCTCTGTTGTTGTGGTACTTATTATTTTACAGCTGTGAGCCTGTGACAGTATAATAGTTTGGAAGCATAGTGAAACCTCTATTTAACGAACTATATGGAGAGGAAAGTCCGTTATATCGAGGGGTATGTTATATGTGATACCTCTATTTAACGGACTATATAGAAAAGAAAGTACGCTATATCGAGGGTATGTTAGATGTTAGACTTCTATGTAACGGACTATATGCAGAGGAAAGTCCGTTATATCGAGGGTACGTTAGATGTGATACCTCTATTTAACGGACTATATGGAAAAGAAAGTACGCTATATCGAGGGTATGTTAGATGTTAGACTTCTATGTAACGGACTATATGCAGAGGAAAGTCCGTTATATCGAAGGTCCATCAGATGAGAAACCTCCATCTAACGGATTATATGAAGAAAAAAATCCGTTATATGGAGATCTCACTGAACTGTGGTAATTATAGAAACAACAGTAGGATGAGCGTCGCCTTAACATAAATCAAACGTAATCACATTTACTAAGACATTCAAAAATAGATCATTACACATTCTTACATTAAATGCTGATGTAAGAACGTCGGGATTACACTGAAATTCTACCTGAGGAACGTAAGTGTATATAATTCCTTACCAGACACTTATATAGAGAATTATGGCTTATGACTGTGAGATTTACGGAGATCAGAAATGTTGATATCATAAGAGAAAGTGTTATGATGTAAATCCCAGGAGTGATGACATTACCAGAGAAAGTGTGGGGGAACATGATGGGTCAATATTTACTTGTGGCTCTCTGGTAATGGATGTTTTCTTCAGGTGAAAGGTGTTTACCCTCGCCCGCCTCAGCTCACCATAATCTTACTATCCATTTTTTGTCTGTAATTTTAGAAAGAGAAGAAGATAGAGAAAGCGAGAGGGTGGAAGAGAAGAGAAAAGAGAGAAGAGAAAGATGGAGAGATGGAAGAGATAAGAGAAATGGAGAGATTAATGAATTTCAGTACATTACGTTTTTGTGATGTTTATATTCTATAATTGTTTTAATGAATTTACTTGCATTTATGATTTTAATTTGTTATTTTAATATTCAAAGGTTGGTTTATATTTTAACTTTTGAAATATAATAATGATAATAATAATAATAATAATAATACTAATACTACTACTACTACTACTAACAATAATAATTAGAGCTTATATGAATTATTTCTGAAATATTTTAGGATATATCAACATTTTTTTTGTTTTGCAATACCTAAAATTAAATTGACATTATTGTTTTTTTTAATTTCTTATGACGTATTAATGTTTTTATATGTTTACACATCTTAGATTATTTCAAGGTTCTTTATATTATGTCTTATCTTAAACATATACTGGACACCTCTGGACTTTTGATCGTACTGGGAATAATCACATTAATTCCATATGCACTCCAAAATTTACCTGGGCTCTTGTGAATCCTCGGGGAAGAAACACTACCTTCCATTGAGCACCAAAACTCCCCTGGACTCACGTTTGCACTGGGAATAAAAAGACTAGTTCTATATGTACAAACAAAATTCAGAGGGACTTTCGTTCGTACTGGGGATAAAAAAAAAGACAGTTGCCTTTGTGTACACTCCAGGGGGCACTGAAGTCTATTGTCACGACGGATAAAGAATTTTTTTTTTCTGGCCACCTCCACAGGAATCACTTTTACCCTTCCATTATTCTAATAAACATTACCAAGTTTTCTCAGTCAATTACAATGTGAATGGCAAGTAATGAAAAGTTATAGTACACAAACACACAAGTGAATGCAAGCTTAATATTTTCTGCTTCTCCTCCTTCATCTTCTGTTCCTCCTTCATCTTCGTGTTCCTCCTATTCCTTCTACTCTTCCTCGTCCCTTTCTTCTTATTATTTATCGCATTAAAGTACTTAATTAATCACATCGTCATTACAATCACCATTATTTTCTCAGTCAGTTAAATATACTTATCCTTCGCTGTTAACATTCCCGGCGTCACAGTGAGCTAGTTAAGGGTCATCTTACATTAACTGATGGACCTAAGACTCCTTGTGTTCAGGGCCCAGGCGAGAAAATTAAGGACTCAATTGACTAGATAGCTGTGTGTGTGTGTGTGTGTGTGTGTGTGTGTGTGTGTGTGTGTGTGTGTGTGTGTGTGTGTGTTTCGCTAATTTCTTCCCCCTCTTCGTCTGCCTCACTCCCTCATTATGTCTTTCTCTCGCTATTTACGTCCCCGTCTCCGCTTCCTCCCTCAGTGCCTTCTATTACACCTTCTTCCGCCCAATTATCTTTAAGTTTTCCTTTCCAATTTTGTCTTCCTCTTTTATGAGCCTATTTTTTTGTTGTGACGGCGTTCTCTCTCTCTCCCCTCTTTAGCTCCACCCAATTTTCCCTTCTGTTTTCTCAAATTTCTCATGTATGTGTGCCCACGCCGCCCATTGTTCACGCCCACCACACCCGCGAGAGAAATGTCCCCTCCCCCCCTCCCCCTTCACTTTCACTCCTTATGATCCTGGGGCCAGCGGAGGGCGTTCCAAATTTATACCCAGTCGAGTGTCATTATCGTGCATAAACCTCCTCTCACCTTTCAAGATTTATTTATTTTTATATACATTTAATACTGTCATCGGGAAGCTAGGTAATGGCCAGACAAGAGGTGAATCCCGCGTTAGAATATGGATTAAAATAAATAAATAATCGCGCGCTCCTAATATTTGTTTAGAAAGCGCCATCCTCTTAAAATATTTCTTCTCTTGTGATGGTGAGTGAAACTATCCAATGTTTTATATCCCCTACAGCTACCACGGCACATCTTCACTATAATCCAGCCGTCATTCCCTCCTGCGCGGTCATCTGCATATACATACGTGGGCGTGTGTGTGTGTGTGTGTCCGTCTGTCTCGTGGTGAAGAGGTGGAGAAAATAGGAGTACTCGGCACCCTGGCGGCACTGGGTCGACGCCGCCTCCAGTGAGAGTTAGAGGGTTGAGGCGTGGGAGGGTTAGTCTTACTTGGGACGCTGTGAAGGGAACACGTCCACAGTTGTGCCTCTTGACTGCTGGCACGTGGTCACGATACTAAATTTTTTGCTGTTTTCCATCCCGTTAAAAAAAAAGTCACATTAGTGTTCTGTCGCAGTGTTGAAACCCTGAGAAACAAATTCGTCTGAGTGCTGTCCCCGCTATAAGTAAGTACCATCCATAGATTAGTTAATTTTTTTTAAACATGAACACCAGGTCAACAAAACACAATCGACTTTAAATTTAAATCGTCACAAGTAAACATCAATTAAACTATTAAATATGTCCCAAGCAAATTTATAATACCAAAAAATATATATATTATTTTTATCATTAATCTAATAAAAAATCTTTGCATACATGAACGTCACTTTAACATTACAATGACTAAAACAATTCATCATTATAAGATATTCACAACTTAAGATACTATTGGAGACGTCTCATTATACACAAGTCCTCCTCCACTAACACTGAACTTGTAAGTTGGCTCTCACCAACCCTCCTTAATGACTAACTATGATGAATGAGAAAATATAAGTACATATACCTAGTCAGAACAAATAATAATAATAATAATAGCATTAATAGTATAAACAACAATAATGATAACACTAAAACTAATAATAATAATAATAATAATAATAATAATAATAATAATACAAATAAAAAAAGCAAAGTAACATGAAATTACTTAAGGCACTAAAGTAAGTAGCAGGAGCATATTCAGGGAACAGATAAAGAAAGCCAACAGTCGGGAACTAGAGTAAGTAGGAGTAATAGAGGGAAGAAAGTGCCCGGAAGTAGTTATGAAGGAAGCAGCCAGCAGTAGGTCAGCCATTTTTAAATACCACAGTGTTTTGTTTACGTGTTTACCTACTTCCTGTATATTTGTTTGTTTGTTTGTTTTAGTCTATATACTTCGTACGTTTGTATTGAAGCATGTTTGTGTTTAGTTGTTTTTTGTTTATTGTTTATTTGTGTTCGTTTGTCTTGATTATAATTTGTCACGTGTTTGTTTTGGGGGTCTGGTTATTGTGATTGTTTCTTTGTTTGTATCTAGGTCTTATTGTGTTTATTTATTTGTTTGTACGTAAGTCTTATGAGTTTATTTGTTTATAAATATTATTTTCATGTTTGTGTATTGCTAGAAGGTTAACTTTAATTATATTGTTCACAGACATATGTAGGCTATGTATACTATTCATACATACGCATTACGTACACATGTAGTATGTAGACATAAATACCAATAAATACCTATAATGAAGACCGCCTATAAATTAACATAAAATGGTATATAAATATTTCTATAATCTGTATCTATTTATTGCAACACGGGGTCACGGCTATATATACCATCAGACTACATCCGGCTATAGAAACCAAGAGCTCGTGTTGGTAATACTGTAATTATTTCCTAGAAGGTCACTGGGATAACCTGTTCTAACATAACTTCCTCGGATTCTGTCTGTCTGTCTGTCTTATCTATGGCGGGACTCTTTTCTTGGAGATTTTAATTAATTTTTTTTTTATCAAGTGACTGAATGGAAAATAGTGGAGGAATTTCTCGTTAATTTAGTATAGTTTTGATTCATAAAGGTAGGAATACGTATCTTAAATTTATGACGTAGGAGGGAGATGTTTTCATAGTATGTTTTCTTATCGTGTGTAAGATCTTAAGATGATTGGTTGAGCCTCTAATAAATCCAGCCAATCCACGTCTCCCTGCTGTTTTACCGGCAAAATTTCTCGTCTTGGCTTTAAATAATATTGGAATACTTTTGAAATGAAAAAAAAAAAATACTGGTTAATTAGACTAAAATATCATTTAGTTATCCATCTAATTTTTAAAGAGTTCCATCCTAAAGAGAATATTTAACAGTTCCAGGTTACAGTATATCATAAAATGTGCAGGGGGCTGGCGGCTTAACCGGGAGTATTGACTCACAGTGGTAAGTAAAATATGACAGTTTTCTAACCACTTTTTGCTCCGTTTGGTGCTGACGGCGTTGAGGAAGATCTTCATAACCAACTTACAATAATTCACCAACGTTTCTCACTTAAAATACACACAATCTCTTAATATAAAATAAAGCAGCATTATTTGTACTCACAGCTACTGTAGATACATTTGCAAAGATCATGTGAAATTGATACCGACGTTGGGTGAATGAGTCGTGAAATATGATTAATATTAATATTTCAATCACAATATATCTATGACATCTGAACACGCTGTAAAATTTCGTGGTATATTTTGGAAACAGAAGGACGGACGGAAAGAGAGAGAGAGAGAGAGAGAGAGAGAGAGAGAGAGAGAGAGAGAGAGAGTGAGAGACCAAAATATCACCTCACCGCATCAAGAGAAAGTGCGGTGAGACAGACACACAAGATGGTCATGTTGTGGGCACACGACACAGCACGTAAACACCTTCTTCCTACCACAATCACCACTAACATATACTACCATCACTAATACCAACTACCACCATCACCACTACTACCACCACCGCCATTATTATCATTTCCATCATCACCACTACCACCATGACTCGCTACAAACACCATGGCCACTGCTACCACCAATATCACCACCACCATTACCACCACCATCACGATTCTGAGAAGGATTAAGAAACCTAGGGGGATTTACCCTATCCATCTAAGTGTTGCCAGAGAGAGATTTTACCCTAATATCTACCTGTTGCCATTTACAGTGTTGCCAGGGATTGGATATTGAGAGGTACCCCCCACCCTCTCCCTCCTCTACGAGTGTGTAGCCAGATGGAGGTGTGTGTGGTAGACGGGGCACCTTATGCAAATGAGAGAAAGCCTGATAAGCAGACAGATAGATGAATTGACAGACAACCAGACAGACCAGGTGTGGGCTACCTGGCTCACTCTCACCTGCCTAGATAACTAACTCATATTCACCCACCTCCTCCCCTTTAACTGACCCTCCACACCCCTTCAACTGATCCCCACACCCTTCAACTGACCCTCCACCCCTCCACAACTGACCTCTCCTACCACCCTCCACTCACCTTCAACTGATCCTCACACCCTCCCTACCCCTTCAACTGACCTCCTACCCCACCCCACACCCCTCCATACCCCTTCAACTGACCCTCCACATCCCTCCCTACCCCTTCAACTGACCCTCCACCCCTTCAACTGATCCTCACACCCTCCCTACCCCTTCAACTGACCCTCCACACCCTCCCTACCCCTTCAACTGATCCTCACACCCCTCCCTACCCCTTCAACTGACCCCTCCACACCCTCCCTACCCCTTCAACTGACCCTCCCACCCCTTCCCTACCCTTCCTGACCCTCCACACCCCTCTCTACCCTTCAACTGACCCTCCACACCTCTCACCCCTTCAACTGACCCTCCCTACCCCTTCAACTGATCCTCACACCCTCCCTACCCCTACCCTCCACCCCTCCCTACCCCTTCAACTGACCTCCACCCCTTCACCCTCCCTACCCCTTCAACTGACCCTCCACACCCCTCCACCCCCTCCTACCCCTTCAACTGACCCTCCCACACCCCTTCAACTGACCCTCCCTCCCTACCCCTTCAACTGACCCTCCACACCCCCTCCCTACCCCTTCACCCTCCACACCCCTCCTACCCTTCTGACCCTCCACCCCTCCCCTTCAACTGATTCTCCAACTCCCTATCCTTCAACTGACCCTCCACACCCTCCCTATCCCTTCAAACCTGACCCTCCACACCCTCCCTACCCCTTCAACTGACCCTCCCACCCCCCTATCCCTTCAACTGACCCTCCACACCCTCCACCCCCTCCTTCAACTGACCTCCACACCCCCTCCCTATCCCTTCAACTGACCCTCCACACCCTCTCCACCCCCTACCCCTTCAACTGACCTCCACACCCCTCCCTATCCCTTCAACTGACCCTCCACACCCCCTTCCCTTCAACTGACCCTCCACACCCCTCCCTACCCCTTCAACTCCTTCAACCGATTCTCCAACCCTTCCCTACCTCCTTCAACTGACCCTCCACACCCCCTCCCTACCCCTTTCAACTGACCCTCCCGACCCTCCCGCATAAATACTTCAGCTGGTAACCACTCACATAATCGGCACCCATTTCAAAGTCTTTAATTGGCACCTATTGAGATATATCTCTACCTGGCACCCCGTGTAGTGTCTTTAAATAGCACGCAAGTAGAACTCTAAAGTCACACAGGGACTCCTTTTAATCTGTATAAAGACCTCAATTTATACGAGAAGCCCTACTTGTCTATGAGAAAGAGAGAGAGAGAGAGAGAGAGAGGTTCAGTGTTTTGTACAGCAGAAGGTCGAACAGTTAACGAAAATTATATTCAGTAGTGTGTCTAGATTGTGTATTGTAGAGACTGTATCGTGTAGAAGTTGCACAACAAAGGTTATTTACGAGTTGTAGTATGTAGAGGCTGCGTGCTATAGAGACCCCTGAGAACTGCCAGTAGGGATTGACGCTAATATAGATTGTATTTTGCCTATTAGAGTCGAGTACAAGGGCTGGCTGCTAGAGTCCCCTGAATATGTGTCACTGGCCAGGGTAATTACGAGACAATAACAAAATTAGCGTTATATCCTGAGAGTTTTCTTGTCGGTAAAGGGAAGTTCAGAAGGGGAGGGGGGACTGGCTCATTGTTCCACCAAATGGGAGTTTCACCGAGGGCTTGGTGCGGTGGAAACACACATAACATCCGTTGCGAGGCCGGGCATACGAAAACTTACTCTTACAGTAGTATTATCTATAAACTCTTACTTCCTTAGGTGAAGAAATTAAGCAGAAAGAACAAATTTCGACTGAATAAAAAACACGCCACTTTTATCATATTTCTTGTAAAATGGAAAATAAAATCGTACATACAGTTTCATTTGGCAGTACACAAATCCACAAAGGTTATTTCTGGATGAACTCTGTAACTACTATATTCCCCCTAAGCGGAGAACAAAATCAAATGGTAAATAGTTTCATTATATTTTATGTTACTTCTCGTGTAAACAAAGTAGGACACAGGTAGAACAGTTAAAGAGAAGTGATCCCTAACCTCCCTGTTATCAAAACAATTATCGTCACGACCCCTGTGAGAACTGTACCAGGCGGCGCCCCCGGGAGTTTATCTGTATAGAATATTTTAC